CGGCGCACTCATGCGTAGCTCCTGGCCAAAAGTCAAGCCAACAGAAGGTCAGCAATTAAAGCGAGGCCAAGCCCAGTTACTGACGAATGTGGGCTGAAGGCTTAATAAATAGCCATAAGCTAGCCCCTCATCTGCCATCTACTACTAGAATGCTTTGCGGGGGTGGCTACGCATCTGATTGTTGACCAATAGTCCGCTCTAAATTGTGTCATCTTCAGTGCTCGCCTCATCGGGCTCAGGTCAATGTGACTCGTCGCTGACCCTTCACCCCTGACCAGTCGTCTGCCGCCTGCTGAGTGAGCATTTAATGCGCTTAGAACAGATGTTTCTGCGGCAGCAGGTTTTCGGGGGTTGTTTCCTGTATAAACTGACTCTAACCCAAACCCTGCTCTGTGTTCAGTTCTCGGAAGATTAAGGCTAAATGAATTTTTCGGCAGTAAGTCAAATAAATAGCACGGGGCTAATTATATCAACAGACAGCACGATTAAAACATGACCTTAAATATTTTGCAAGTCGTCTTAAATTAAAGACAAAAAACAAACCTTCTTCAGCAAAACATTTTTAAACCTGCTTTCCGCGCTAATACGGGCTGTAAATTAAATAGGACTGACACATTAAATAAAATATTAGTTATAAATATATATAAATAATAATTGCTCTATTCATTACGCTGCCAAGGTCAATAAGTTTGTTGATTATCAATTAGTTTAAAAATAAAATATCTGATCTATTCTTGGCAGGAGCATTTCCTTATGGCTTGGCAGCGCGATAAAAATAGCTGAATTTTATTTGTATTTTATTTACTTAGCAGCTGTCCGAGAGACAAACAAAAACAGGTGAAGTCCTTTTTGTGCAGAGGAGCTGCTTCTCATGTGAGTACATAATCAATATATGTTTATATATATAATTAAATATATGCGGCTGAACCTTGGACAGGCTAAAAGGCGGCCAGCACGTGCTAATAAATTCATTAAACATTTATGAGCGGGACAAAGGGGGGGACAGCAAGTGCAGTGGCAATAAAACTATTAGCATAATGACAGCATTAGGCAATGGCAACCGACTGAGCGGAGCTGACAGGATGCGGGTCCTGACATAAAAAGGCCTCATTGGGGGGCAAATTTGTAATGCTCAGATAAATTGTTATTTTATGTGCCATCGTAATAAGCGCATTATGAGACAGCAGTGTGTGTATGTGTGTGCGAGTGCCAAGTGTGTGCCAAGTCATACAGAAAACTACGCACGTCGTGGCCTGAGAAGTGCGCCAGGACGTCATTGAGACGAACACGACTATGACGCCTTGGGGACGTTGAACCCTACTATTTTTGGGAACGGGCAGAGGTTTAGCCTTTGGTTGGGGTTGGGGTTAAGGGGCAAGGCACGGCGCGTGCCGAGGCCAAACGGCAGCCAAGGAGCCGGCTCAGAGGCGCAAAGGTGCAGACGTGGCACAGACAACAGTTGGCAATCGCGCAACTGCGCTGCGATGCCACTCAAAAATTATAAACATTTTTAAAACACTTTTTTGACAGAGTGCTGAGAATTTATAGCCAAAAACTCGTACGTGCTGCGGTCACGCATCAATTTTGGTTATACGCCCAGGGCCAAGAGCAGTTGCCCAGGCGTGCGTGCAATAGGATGAAGGACGACAGCACACACTTAATAAAGTGTTTGTTTGCGTCAGCTTCAAACCAAGGGACCAAACGCCAAACAAAATTGTGGGCCAGCAACCGCTGACTGAATTCTGTTCCTGGCAGTTAAAAGAGCTTGACGTTTCAATTTCACGAAGTCAATAACCAAACGCCAAACCAGAAACTAAAAGTTAAGTTTGAAAAACTAATAAAACAACAGCAATACGCCAATAATTATTAATCAATCAATCAATAATAATTAATCTTCAACTTAAAATATAGAGTTGAAAAACTAACAAAAAAATCATATATATGGCAATTTTATGCTAAATAATAAATAATGTTAACCCTCTTATATATTAAGCTCTATCAAGAGCTTATATTTGATAGATTTCGATCAAATATAAGCTGTAATATTTTAATATGTCAAACACACATTCATACTATATAAAGCAGCCGTGTAGTTTACACTGTTTAACAAATTCAGCCGCAAGTGATTACACATCATTACACGGTTTGAGAGTTGGGCTCAATTGCTTGGACTGTTGGGTCTGAAGTTTTATTTACATTAAAACATCATCAACGTGTTTATATCAACATCAAACTCATTTTACGCATCACCAAACTTTTCCTAATCCTTTGATCCGAGGCAGCAAAAGGGTTGCCCGAGCGCCAAAAACGAAGGCAAAAAGAAATCAGGGCAGGGCACATAAAAAGCTTGGCGTGCCATTTTTTTTTTTTTTTTTTTTTTTTGTTTTTTTGGGGACAGGAAGAGGAGCAGGGCCACCAGAAAAGGGTTTCGTGGCATTTCTTGATTTCTGTTGTTCTTGTTGTCAACTCTTTCGAGCGGCCAACTGATATAAATCCAAAATAAATCAGTCGACTCTTCGAGTCGAGTGGTTGTTAATTTGAAATTTATACCAAAAACAATTTAATCGGTTCAAACCAAAACACAGTGCCCCGAAAAATGTAAACGAATGCCAAATGTGGGATGTGAGCTTATGACCTTGTCAGGGCCTTTGAGTTAGGTCTCTACCTCTTGGGGCAGGTCTGGCCATCCAATGAGTACAGGTGGCAGGATTGAATATCTCAGCTGAATTGGCAAAGGCTTGGGGAATAGATGCTCATAAGTATTTCTGGGAATTTTGCTAATTTTTGATCAACATTAAAGGGAGTAGAAACACTTTCCTTACACGGCTTTTGATTCTATTTTACTCATCTGAGCTATTTAAGAAAAACCTTTATCATACTTTATAAATATAAGCATATAGGTGAGGAGAACGGAAAAGCTTTAAAGTACGAAGAAAGAGTTTCTAAACAAAAACACAAATTTTTCCGCCGATTTTTTTTAAGGAGCTTACGATATTACTACGCCGATATTGGTAAGGTGTGGATAATATAATATAATAATATAATATAGACGTGGCTATATCGGCATGGCTTTCGACACAGATCAAGAATATTTGTATATATATACATACATATACTTCATGAGTTCGGAGATGTCGCCTTCTATACATCACAAATACTTTGACAAAACATAGCCACATCACCTTGCCTAGGCTGGGATGTGTAAGTCGCTTTCAAGTGTGCTCCATGTTTTAATATGATTTGTAATTTTAGAATGAATTCGCAAAACAAAACAACAATTGGTTAGAGCGACACTGACTGGAACCGCAACTCAGCTCAGCCAGCGAGCGCTGTCAATTAGCCTGCCCGCCAGCTGCCTGGATACCTGGCTGGTTTTCTACCTGTCGCCTGATGACTGACTGTCTGGCTGGCTGGCTTGGCTGCTCGACTAACAAACAATGTCAACGTCATAAAACCGCAGCCTCATTACGAAATATTTAATCATATTTAGCGCGCAAAATGAAAAGCGCAAATGGCTGCGGGAGAGGCAGAAGAAACAAGAGACATGGCTAGAAATGTTGTGAGTAGCGCATAGCCACAATTTGAACAATACAAGCTGGGAAAACCTCAAAGCAGCCACAGGCCACAGATATCACAGCTGCCTTGGCATTTAAGTAAATGTGACAAAATGGCAATATTTTCCATGTAGAAGAGGAGATACAGACACGTAGATACAGATACGAGTATGTAAATGCTCAGGTTGTAGACCCGACTAGTTAGAGACAAATGGCTTTGTGTGGCGCTAAGAGTATTTGCTAGTTGGCAATAATATCAAATTGCACTTTTCTGCACACACTTGCACACACTCACTGGCAGCAACAATTGCGTGTGGAAAAAGATACACAAATATCTGGCAAATACAAACAAATGTGCAAACAGAAGTCGCAGGAGCACAAGCCAAACAAACTGCCAATGCAACAGAGAGCAGAAGAGGGGCAAGACGAGGGCAAAAATGTGAAACTGAACCAAACTGAACTGAACTGAACTGAGCTGAAATGCAGTCAGCGTCGCTCTGCGGCTTCGTAAACATCATTTGAGTCTATTTGTGCATAGCGCAAAGCCACACTCGCAGCTACTCTGAAGGTCCGGAGCAGAGCATTCGTGTGCTCAGCAATTTTGCAGCGTTCGCAAAGTGTGTTCAGTTATTTGATATGCGCGGTTATTTGATAATAACATCTGCTTGACGGTCTGTTGCCAACAGGAGCGCAAGCAGGGACAGAGCCAGGGGTAGTAGCAGGGGTTGCTTTCAACAGAGCATCCATCAAAAGAGCCCCATTTGCCGTCTAGTTGGCCAGATCCTATTGCTGATGAGGCAATACAATTGTCTGAAGTCGATTGGCCGGGCAGTAAATGCAACTACAAGCAGGTATCCGAAAGATACTTTGCCTGCATGGTTAGAATAAACACTTAAGTTCCACAGATATGGAGAGTTGTTTACCAGCAAGGTATCGAGCTAATACTTTGTATAAACAGATATGGTAGATAGATTGACGTACACAGATACAGATAAATATCTTTAAATGGATATTTATATGTTTTCTTAGCAATTAAAGATACATTTTGCCATTTGCATTACAGTTTAAGATTTAAAAAGTATCTTTCGGATATAATGAATAGATACAAGCTAACTTCACATGTGCATATTTATAATTGGATCTTTTGAAAGCTATGAAAGAGACAGCGTGAAATTTATGCTACAGGTTCAAACAGATGAGTGATACGGTGCATATAGAGATAGTCAGTAGATAGTTGTCCCACATATTATAAAATACAATTGTAAATTATAGTCAAACTATTGATACCAATACGATTAATATAATTTATCTGTTGGATTTGGATTTTCCCCGCTTCAATTCATGATTTTTTCTTTATACTACAGACGCAAATAGATGTATCTGATAAATACTTTGCATCAACAGGTAGCCAGTAGAAAGCTTGCAGACTCGAAAACATTTTCATAGTTTATAAAAGATCCATTTGTATAATACCAATACGATTAATATAATTTATCTGTTCAATTTGACCTTTTAAGGCAAATCAATGTTTGCCCCACTTCAATTCTCAAAAAGCTATTTAAATTTTGATGGATTGGCTCACTGCAGTGCCTGGGCCTAGTTTCCGTTCATGTTTGTCTCGATGTATGTCAATTAAATTCAATTGAAATTAATTTAATGTTGTTATTGTTTCCCTCGTTTTTGTTGTTGAATTTTGTAAGACTGCGACCCAAAGCCACTTAAGACTAGCCAAACAACGAAAATAACAAAGAATTAACTACCCAAAGCTGCACGTGCGTTCCACCTGAAGAGTGGATATATCGGACTGTAACTAGAATTTGAGCTGAGGTCGGTCACTCAATTAGACTGGGGCGAAGTGGGAAGTGGAACTAACTAAGTTGAGGCCAAATTCCAAGAGCGTAAATTTCATTTGCACTCTTGGTTGCGAGCATTAGAAATGCATTTGGGTGGCTGACAGCTAAATAATTCATGCCTGCCCCCAAGTACCTCAGAGCAGCTACGATAATGTATTTACAGCCATAAGCATATGTATCTGTGTGTGCATTTTTATGCTCTTTATGCATCTGAAAGTTTGTTTTGTTTTGTTGCGTCGCGCTGTTTGGGCTTTACACATTCTGCATTCGTTTGTTTCAATCGATTGACATAGTTCAGTTCTAATGGATTTTCACGCCAACGTTGACACAATTGCGGCAGCCACAACCACAGCCAACTTGAGTGTTGGCTTTTTGTTATTGTTGGCCAAGGAACCAAGGTGCAAAGTTTTCGCCCAGACTTACCTGCAACGAGAAAGAGAAATGTTGAAAATTGCATTAAAGTTTCAGTAGTAGTTACAGTTTTAGTTATAGTTTTAGTTGTAGGTTCTTCTCGAACTGAACTCATAAAGAACTCAGCTATCAGTCGCTGCATATAAACATAAATTTCTTGAAACCTAATTGCCAGAGATTATCAATAGGCGACGCGACCCCAAATCAACTCCAAGTCATGCAACAGTTTTCTATTCCATTTGAACGATGTACGAAAATAAAAATAAATTTTGATATATTTACGAGGCGAGCGGAAAAGGCGGAAGATTAAATAAAGAATTTAGAGAGAGAGATAGAAAAGTTATCAGCATTTTACTTGCTTTACTTTTAATTAAAAACTCGAGTAAATAAACCCGAAAGACAAGTTCCTATAGAGACAAAAGTTGAGAAAATATATTCGAGTCGCTGCGCCCCGGGGGCTTTATCGCAGCTGTAATCTGTCAGCGGGACAGTGTGGAGCAGAAGTCGAGTGCCCGGGGGCAAATGCAGGGGCACGGCTAGGGGCTGGGTTGGGGTACAGACAGACTACTCTCTGCCGGGGCGGTCGGCGTTGCCCGGCCCATTGACGAATGCTGCGACACACGACACAGAAACAACAACTTCGCAGAAGTGCATCTTGTGAAGTGCACTTGTTGTTGTTGTTCTTCTTCTTCTTCTTCTGGCCTTTGTTGTTGCTGATGTGTTTAGTTATTAAAACTGACAGTTTTATATGGTAGCGCTCGACTCCATCTGGAGTTCGACTTGCGAGCCTGTCGCGCACCCAAATGCCTTATGACACTTTTATTTTTTCTCTCGTTTCCAAATAGATTTTTTTTTTCTCTCTACTTGTTTTTGACATGTGTCATGTGAGTGCGTTTTGGGGTTGAATACAATTGATTTTTTTGTATGCGTTCCGCACGAAAATAACTCAGCTTTTAGTTTGTGATTTTGTCAGAGCTGGCTGTGGCTGCTTGCTTCTGACATTGGCATTGCAGACAGTTCAATCTTAAAGCACACACAACTTGCAGAGCACAGAAAATCAATCAAAACTAAAAGTAATAAGAAGAAATTTTTAATGCCTCGCTTCAATTGACGAGCATATATTTTTCAACACTGTGAATTTCTAAATTTTTAAAAATAAGCTAAAATTCTTTTGGAAAAATTTGATTATGCATTTTATGCATGCCAACAAAAATAAATATAGCTGGTAATCCCAAGCGGTTATTTATGCTCTTCGCACATTATTTAGTTACTACAAATATTCCAGAACGTGGGCCCATATTAATTAGTATTCATTTCAGCATGAAAATATCATAATTTAATGAATTAAATAGCATGCCAACAAATTAGTGTCAGTCGTGTCCTAAATGTATTTAACTAATGATCTACCTATAAAAAAAAAATAGAGAAGCGAAACGGAGAAAATTCCATGAAATTGAAAAACATAAAAAACCGCTGCTCGGCGATTTTCGCACTTTTCATTTTTCTTTTCTTTTTCATGCTGAGACGAAGTCAAACAAATGAGTCGCGTAATATTTGTTGTCGTTTGTCTATTTATGATAATTAAGGTTTGACATTTTTATGATATTAATTAATTTGATGGCAAACGGCGAAGTGTGAAAAGAAATGTAGACCTTACGCTCCCAACTACCCCAGCACAGCTCTCCCACCTACATCTCCCCCTCACTCGACCCCCCTTGACACCACGCCGCCAACGCGCTTCTAATTTTGTCAGCGCTCGACGGATGTCGCCGGCCACAAAAAATTAATAGGCCCTGGCGTGACCCCAAAACGAAAAAGCAAACACAAAGCAAATGAAACGGGAAGGTGAGAAAAGTGTTGTTGTACACGTTGCCATTGTTGTTGTTGTTGTTGTTGTTGTTGTCCCACTTAATGAGGGGTCTTCGGCTATAGCATTAGTGCTGATTGTCAAGCATTTAAAACTGCAGCGGGGGCGACTCGGGTCATAAAACTGACAATAAACTATGCAGATCCCCTATAAAAAAAAAAAGATAACCCAGCTGCAGTTGGCGCTCCTCTGCGTCTACAGAGATCGTCTGCCGGAGTTTGTCTTAGCTCAAGCATTAAATTAAACAAGTAAGTGTGCTTCTCTCAACGAGTCTTTATGCCATATTATCTAGCTACCTACCCAAATAACAGATTTCTCCAAGATCGAGTCGAATTCTACTGCATGGAAAAACACAAATACCAAATTTGCAAGCACTAGCTCACAAGTTTTCTAAGTTTGTGGGGGATAGATAGATTATATTGGAATCTATGGAACTCGCAAAAACTTCAAGGAGTTGGGCTCGGCCATGATGAATGTCTATTCTATTCAAATTTGTATAATCAAATTTCACTTTGCGCCAGCTTTAAAATCAAATTTGTGCCCGTTCCTTGGCATATGTTTCACTGCAAGAATTATGTGGCGCAAAACTAATGCACAAAATTTATGCGTTGTGAAAAGTTTTTTTGAGTATTATTTTTTTTTTGCCCACCCACTGACCAGCTGCGAGGCACTCGATGGAGCTGGCCAGCCGTGAGACAGGCCCAACAATATTTTGCCGCCCGGCATTCGGAGCATTTGGTACGTTTTTTTGGTTTTTTGCAAAATGAGGCGCAACGAAGCGTATGACAAACAGATTTTTCTCAAACGCAAATCCGTGCGCTGAAAAGAAAAGGCAAGAAAAAGTGTAGGAATTTCCATAAAATTAGAATAACAGCAGTGATTCTTTACGGAGCCCAAGCGACAGACGAACAGCACGCAGGACGGACGCCAAAATTTATGAGCAGCACCAAAAAAAAAATATGTAAGAAAAGGCAGAAGAAAAAAAATATATAAAGAGAGACGGCAATAAATGAGCACTGCCGCGAAAGAGACAGGAATAACTTGTAAAAAATAATTGAAGCTGAGGCAGAGACAGATTTTTATACACGCACGCACCGCCGGGCCAAGGGCAGGAACAGGGGCATATAAAATATGGCAACAGACTGAAACCCTTTTCCGCCCAAGCCCAACCCCAACCCCAACTTGCCGGCTCTTTAGTCATGGCGCCTCGCCGTATTTGGCACTACTCGTGGTTTGGCCCTCCGTGTATATATTTTTTTTATTTATTTTATGCATTTTTTTCGCGCATGTTGTGCACCGGCGGCTGCTTCGGTAACTTACATTAAGTCATTTATCTTGTTGTGTTTGTATTTGTACTTGCTTTTACTTTAATTCGTTTACAGCTCCGTTTTTTTGGCTGCACAAATTCTGTCATTTTCAGACTGCAGCGGGAAAAATTCACAGCAGGCGCCAGTCCCGAAATCTATACATGATTTTAATTTGCCAAACGAATCACATTCCCTACGCGAAGCTATTTAACTATATTAACTGGGTCACATTAACTTCTTAGCACAAGCTGCAACGTTGTGTTTATTATTAAAAAACCGGATCAGTATTAATTTGAATAAGATCAGATTGTTACAATGACTATAATTTTGTTAATATTTATAAAATGTTATTATAAACATTTCTGATTCTATATCAATAATTTAATTTTCCTATTGAGAATTTAAGCTAAAATCTACTTTCAGGAATAAGTCTATAAAGATTTAAGCGGGATATTGGTTCAAAGCGAGCCGTTTATAATATTTCAAACTAAACTCCAGAAGCTAGAGTATACATAATTCGGCTTTGCCTATTGCTCTGCTATTGTCTGCATGTTGGTCATTTGTGGCCAACGCATTTGACTGTGATTTTAAAGCATTTTTTATGCACTGCCTTCTGAACTTTAAACTTTGTTTTGCTATTTTACTTTTTCTAAAAGTTTTTATCCCATTTTTCGTATTTCGATTTTTTTTTTTTTTTTCGTTTTTACGTTCTTTGTTTTTGTTTTGGACTCATACGTTTTGGTTTTCGTTATATTGTTACGCCGTTTGTGGTATTTTGGTGATATTTGGCGTTGGGCAACTTTTTTTTAGTTTTCATTTGATTTTTTTCCGCTTTGCCGTTTGCTGAATTGGAATTACAACAATTTTTGTTATTACTTTGTGGTTTTTTTTTCGCCAGTTTCTGTGTGTGTGTGTGTGTGCATTTTTTTCATAAATCTCTAAATTGAGATTTATGTTAGTTTTGCATATTTTAGCCATGTCCGAAAAGCGGTTTGGCGGCAGCAGACGAATGGCAGGCAGTGTACGCCAGAGACAAAGGCGGGAAGAGAAAGGACGAAGGACAAGCGTGGTTACAGCTTGGCTTCGCTTTAAAAGTTTACTTAACCCAGAGCTGCAGAGTGTGCCTGTGTGTGGGTGGGACGGGATTAATAAATTAGTTTGTGGTCGAATTGTCGTTTGGCTCTTAACTTTTTGATTGCTGCCGGCGCGCGGTTAGCTGACATATGGGCTGCAATTAAGTGTTAAAGAGGACTCCCAATCGAGTTTTCCCCCTTCAGAAAATGTTAAAGTTAAGGCTGAAAGTGTTTAATTAAATTTTAGAAATTTAATCTGGCGAAAAGTTAAATTGATAGGCCTTAAGATTGCCCTGACTTGAAGCATGGACAGCTCTGCAGCGAGTCGTATTAAAGCTTGGGCTTATTTGAATATGTTAAGTTAACAATCGACTTATGCCAAAACGAATCATGTAAATTGACAGCAACCTGGCGTAGGTAAATTCTGTGACAGAGACAGGCATATTAGCCAGGTCCGTAGCCGGGCGTAACAATAAGCCAATAACCAATATACGGCAAGTACATTGCCAACCTTGCATAATGAGCCGAATTCTCGATGCTCGATGCCTTGAGCCATATGTTCAACCTGGTACTGTCCTGTCTCCATTTTAGTTTTGGCTTCAAGCTGTTGGCCACAACCACAGCCATCGAGTGGGTCGACAACCGCAGCAAAACTTCAGACCGCATAAGCCAAATGCTGCCGACTCGCACTGGGGCCTGTCTTGGGCTTCTGGGATTCATCCCAGGTTGTGGCTGAGCTGAGCAGAGTCGAGCAATTTAAATCCCAGGCTGGAGCTTAAACAAATTTTGTTTGGGCCAAGCGAACCTAGGCGAGCTTCTAGACATATGCCATAATTGAAGCTGAGGCTCAGCCACCCCAAACACAACAAACACAACAAACACACACAAACACAACAAACACACACACACGCATACACACACTGCCCTATTGTATTTGCATTAGTGTAATGCAAAGTGTTATAAGCTTTATTATGGTTACCAGTCGATCCAACGACCCATCCGACAACCTGCCGTCTGTGGGGAGACGCTCTTAAGGCCTGCCCGGCTCACTTTGGGGAATTTTATGTAATGATGTGCTTAAATCCTATACACAGACAAACACATAGACATACGCACAAAGAGAGAGAGAGAGGACGAACTATACTCGTAATGCTAATGGCCGGGCCAAGTAAAGGGCCGCAAACTGTGCGCTCGTGCATTTGCTTGGGTAAAGCCCCAAAAATGGATTGATAATATCCCACAAATGATTAACTTGGCTGAAAGTTTTTGCATGCCTTGGGCGAGCTGGCATTTCGCCTGTTCACATATGCTAATAGTTTGTCGGGCTCGACAGATTTGTCAATCTGTCTAATGCCCTTTTGTTGGCTTTGCCTTGGGAAATTTGTCGCACATTTAAATCAATTGGCATTAGCCAAAGTTTCAGCTCGGACTCGGACTCAATGTTAACTGATCCCCAAGTCAACGGGCAACGAGTTACATTTGATTGCCGCTATCCCGTTTATTTAACTGGCCAAATTGACACGCATAATAAGCTTAGATTTTTCCTAGCCACATTAGCTGGTAAACAGCAAAGGGTTGAGCGCCAGTTGGATCCAGAGACCTTATCTTATTAGCAACTGATTTATGCAACACTGTCAATGTCATATGGCTGCCATAACTCAGAGCAGCAATAAATATTGTATCATATGGCATCATAAGGAAATATAATGATAAATAACCAAATCAGCGAACGAAATGACTTCATTTCATTGCAAGGCAGTCTGTAAATGCTCCACATTCACATTCATATCCATAAACATAATACACAAACACAATGCTAAGAAACAACTGTGAAAAGGCA